CGTTATTACGAGTATATCGTTTGATCTACATTTTTAGCAAGCCCACACTGTCAGCTGTCGATCTGGCTTTTCTTTTTAGAGATGTCAACACTTGACAACATAAAAGGCGGCAAATTTAAATCTTGCTTTTATTGTGGTACACCTTAGCTAATTGATAAATATCGTTAAACTGGTGAAATATATATTTTTGAAAAAAAAATAAAGTTTACAGCGTCAACGTCGATTAAAAGTTTTGCCAGCTTTTAAGCAACATTATGTAGCAATTTTTTTACAGTGTACACACTTATATTTCAGCTGAAATGCTAATCGAATATTCTGTTGCATTTGCATAGGTCATTCAAGCTTTTCAACTGTGCAAAATAAAAGTTTGCGAAATCAAGTGAATGCGACTTTGTTATAGCAATGAAATTATAAGTGAATGCCCTAATTAAAAAAAATACGCAGAAGGAAGAACGTTTTGGTTTAATTTGAGACAAGCATTTTAGATGGAAATTCCAAGCACTAGTTTTTTTTAATATGTAAACATCAAAAAAATCAGAGCAGCGCCGATTATAATAAAAAATATTTAATTAAATTAATGAACGAAAGACTTAAAAATGGACTTAAGGTTTGGGGATAACATCTGATTTCTTGCACAAAGAGACACAGATAGATAGGTTTTGTCTTATCATTACATTAAGTTTGATTTATGCTATCCAGATAACCTTTCCACTGAATACAGTGGAATAAATTTTTTTTTTTTATTGTTTTTTTTTAAGCCCAACGAATACTCTCCACCCGCCCAACTGGCACGAGAGGCGACATCCGCATGGCGTACAGAAAATGCCCAGTCATAATTGGGAAGCATTTGCTAAGCGTCGAGATTTAAAATTGTTCAGCTAGAGAAAAAAATTTAAAATTTAATTGCTGAGAGAACTAAGAATAGATTTTTTGATGCGCAATAGACTCACTTAGTTAGATTGATGGTGCTGGAATGAAAATTAAAATTGTGACACAATCGGCAAAAGGGCTCATTCAATACATACTTTGTCTTACATGACCTTAATAATCTAGTCAGTTAGATACACGAGCTGGAACATTAAAGTTGATCTCGAATAAGAGCCATGAACTTCAAATTGATCCTTTAAGAAGTTTCACTACGAACAATGCGCCCAACATTTCACTACAACTAGCAGGGGTTGGTAGATTTAGAAAAGGTAGATATTGAAAAAATTATTTCTTCGATCAGAAGCATAAAAGTGGCAAAGCTAAAGTGAGCTCAGCAAGTTACTCATCATCATTTTCTCAAAACCTTTGCAAGGTACTAAGATTATGCTTAATCAGCCAGCTACGACTCACAAAGAAGGCGCCAAATTGGGATGTTCCTTAGTGTATCGTAAACCCCTCACTCAGGCCTTCCAGGACTTTATTTCGTGTTTTGCCTTCTTTGTATGACTACGAGAGGGCTTAAGTCAAGTAAAGCATGATATTTGTATCATTCTTCTATCACCACTGGTGTAACAACTCTTTGCGCGTTTATAGCCGCATAGTGGACTATTATTTTCTTCTTTGTCAGGAGCACTTGATAAAAGCAAAATCAACGTTTGGGTGTCACGTGAGTTAATGCTAAAAAACCGCATGGACCGAGTTTACATCTGAAAATTGCTGGTGAAAGTGAATCACCTACAGCAACGTCAAATGCAAATGATCATGATCTAAGGGCAGTGTGTTACCATAAACGCTCTTCATTTGTACTATCAGCAATTGGACTATCTGAAGGAAGCTATTGCGCAGAAGTAACCAGCTTTCGCCAACAGTAAGGGAATTGTGTTTCATCATGACAACAACAGGCAACACACATCGATAGTGACTCGACAGATACATCGAGAGGTTGGTTGGGAGGCTCTTATTTAACCAACTCATAGTCAAGACCTTTCACAAAGTGATTGTTAGCTGTTCCTGTCTGTGACAAATGACTTATCTAATGTATAATTAGCCTTATGAAAACCCTGTGAAAACCAATTGCCCCAATTTTTTTTTCATTAAATAATTGTAATGCTGTAGAGAACTCTACTGTTAAAGTCATCTCAAGAGCGTTAATCGGTGGGTCGGCATATTTTTAAAACATCCAAAAATGTTACCGGAAGGTTCAATTTATAGAGGCAGCATAGAGTTCAGCGAGCTTTAAGTAAGTATCTACATATCTTTTGCAACAACATGGAAGTAACACTTATTCTATAGCTATTTCCAATTATAGCTATTTATTTTTTAAGATAAATGTTCGAATGCGTAGAGAAAGATATGCCATTATTAAGGCAAAACAATGTCAGCCGAATGTCCGCTACGGCTACGGTTACACGACCGTATTCTTTTAATGAAATTTTCAATCACCAAACCGCAAAAAGACTGTTCTATGCCTTCAATAGCTCCACGAATTCTATCTTTGACATCCCTAATCTATGTTGGCTAGTTGGCGTAGATCTTATCTTTCACGTGGCCCAAAGGAAAAAGTCGTAAGGTTTCAAATCACAAGTTCTCTGTGGTTATTTGCAATCATTTCTTCAAGAGAAAACACTGTTCGAAAAATTTTTCCCTTTAAAAGATCGTTGGTTTCCTTGCATGTGTGGCATTTAGTGCAGTGTTGTTCAAAGTAAACGTTGTTCTGATCAATACCAGCCAATTCCGACCACAAAAAATTATCTCTCGATAGCGGTTATACGTTGAGAATGTAGATGCTTTTTAATAAAAAATCTTAGGTTTTTCGAATCTTTAGCCTATTGACGTAGCTATCGAGGTGAAATCAGTTAAGATGACTTTGAGGTGAAATTCCGGATTATTGATCATTTTTATGCATTTCAAGGACCAATCAGCAAGGACATGACGTCGTTGATGATCGACCGGCTTAAGTTCTTGTGTTAATTGAACTTTATAAGACTTAAAACCCAAGACTTTATACAAAATACATTGTAATGACGTTCAATTCTTCACGTCATTTAGATTTCCCGAAAGCGCAATTTTCTCCACCATTGTCTGTACTGCGGTCTGGCAAGGTGCTTCACGGTGAGCGAGAAATGTTTTAGTTATACGAACCGTCTCTGCCAGGTTTTCACCATTATTATAATAAATTTTAATGACTACAGTGCGTTGTTGAAGCATGTGTTGTTCCATATTTATTACTGGCATAGATTTTACTTTGATACAAAGAAAGGAATGTAGTTTCCCTGGATATCAAATTGACCGAAAAATGGCCTTTGTCATATAGTAGGTTTGTTTATTGAGACTGAAAATAGAGTCGAGCAGCTCATGTTCGAGCAGAATAGAGCAACTGCCAAAAAAAAATAGAACCAGTTTTTTTTTTTGGCAACAATTTTCAAATGCGAATGTTTGACTTTTCTGTTGTAAACAAAATAGAAAAATTTTTCTTAGAAAAATTTATAATTTTTATCGTCTCTTGGCCTTTGCTGTGCTCCGTGAACATCACTTTCTTATATTTTGCCCGCTTTCGTTTTTTAACTCCTTTGTCAAAAAAATCTTATTGCTTGATCCAAGTTACTCTACCGAAAAAGTCAGAGCCAAGAGTAGCCAGAAAACGAAAACAAAAAACCTATATATTTTGTTTGTGTAATCGTAGTTTTGAAAAGTGAAAACTAAAATTTTTTAATGTATTTTGTTTGTGTAATAGAAAGTTCGTAATGTAAAAAACCTATTTCTCATGTATTTTTTAGTATAATTTGTTGAAATGGAAGGAAGAACAAGCAATCATATGATCTGACAACTTCATCTTCCCTAAATTCCCTTTGGTCAGAGCAGAAAATCGTGATCTGAGTTGTTCTATTTCTGCTTAGAACAGACTCATTAACACAAAAAGTATAAGCATATTTTTTGAAACAGCGTAATTTGGAGTAACCTAAAGCAGCTCAATAGACAAACGTAGTATTTTCATTTGAAGATATTGCTACTTTAAAAATATTCCATATATTTCTTTATAAAAAATTGTTAAGCCGCCTGAAAATAATTTTATATTAAATAGATTTTAGAAAATAAAATGCAAAGCTTTTGAATTTTTTGTGTGTACGGTTTATCTAGTTTTTTACTTTTTTTACATTGAAATGTTTTGCCTTTTTAGTAAAATATTTTTTAAATTTTAGAAGGTAGAAAAAAATTTATATTTGGTTTTAAAGAAATTTTTAGCACAAAAATAAAGCAACAGCCCAAATATCTTTGCATGTCAGAGATAGTTGATATTTTTGGAAAAAATTTTGAGTGAAACCACCTTGTTTTTAGTATTTTGGATTTTACTTGCCAAATGTCAAAAACTTACAGCTTACAGGTTGGAAGACCCTTCATTTAAATGGTTTCGCAAATCAAAAAAAAATTGAAATTTATGCTGTTAAAACTACCACGTTCCTTTGATAATGATAATAATAAAATTAAAAGCTTCTTTAAATTTTTTAGTATGTTAAATTACATATATATATATATATCTCTGATATAATTATATATAAGTTCAACACCATTTTGCGCCTCCGGTAGAATTTGAGCCAAAGAGCTTTAACTGCAATAATTTTAAAGAGCTTAAGAATTTTAAAGACTAACTAAAGATTAATAAACAATACTTATTGCAAAGCAAAAGTACTTTTTGTTTTATGTAAATCATTACTAAATTTCCTTCATATATTACGCATCTTATAAGCAACGTGATATATATATATATATATATACAACAAAGTACGACACAGTAAGACCGTCTCTACTTACATGCCCGTCACTGTGCACACACGCCCGTTCTTGCACTAAATCACCAAATCATTGACGTTAAAATAGAGCCGCTGGTCAACGTACGAATTACTTAATGACGAATTAATTATGCAAAACTTACGATTGAGGCCAATGAGTTGGGCGCATGTGTGCGTGTGCGTGTGCATGTGTGTTTGTGTGAAGTTCGGGTTGAGTTTGTAAAAAAGTTCAATTCCAAGTTTACATTTTGCGATCGTCAAGGCTCATTTCAATTGTAGACACGACACCGTGCACTTTGAAAAGTGCGGAGAAATTACAAAAGTTTTCAAGCCAAGCGTCCATACAAAGTGCTATCAGTACTTTTCCATTTGTGCGTGTGTGTGTGTGTGTGAGCGCACACGTGTGCGTGGTTATTGTGTTTCGTTCATACAAATGTAACAAGCAAATAAATAAATGTAGGTATTTTAAAAATATTTCCTATGCAAACTTAAGTGATCCTCTGATCAGCACACGAACGGTACAGGATTTCTAACAAAGATACATACATATTTACGTATATATTGAAGTGTTTAAGTTAAACAGAAAGCACCGTAGGGTGGATGGTAAAAACGTTTATAGTGAAATAAAAAAAAAATTAAAAAAAAAAAACAACAAGAGAAAAAGCATAGTTTGTGTAACGGATATCAAGTGATTGGAAATAATTTTCTCCTTTAGCAAAGTGCAATGGCTTATATAACCAAATATATATATCAGCTTCTGCAGGAAGTCTTCGAAGAGCACAAGGGTATGTATGAAGGACATAAAAAATATACTTTTGAAATTTTTAAATCAGAAAAAATTTAAGAAATTACTTAATCTGTGCCAAATTTCCCTCTATCTATCTCTCTCTCTCTCTCTATATCTCGTCCTTGTCATCATCACAGATCCTCGCGTGCAACATTTACCGCTTGTTGGCTCTCCACTGCCCATGGCCATTGCTATTGTTTCATATTTAGCCTTCGTTTTGCATTATGGTCCCAAATGGATGGAAAATCGAAAACCATTTAATTTGAAATATGTAATGCGTGTATATAATGCTATACAAGTGATTGCCAATTTCATTATATTTGTATATGTAAGTATAAGCACTACTTAGTATATCCGTGCGTACATTTATCGTGTATTTGTGTGTGTTGGTGTGGCAATGTTCTTTTAAAGAATTTTTAATTTTGTTAATGGCATGACTTTTTCAGTTCAACATTTTTTCTCATCCACTCCCACGTCTACTATTTCATATACTTCACATTCACATCTCATTATTGTTGTTATTTTATTTTTCTCTTTCTGTACTTACTTTCTTTCTAAATTTTTACTTATTACATTATATTCTTTTCTTTTTTTTCATTTTATAGGGTGTACCAAACTCTTATATGCGCAAAGAGTTCAGCTTAACATGTCAACCGATTGACCACACCAACACAGCGCCATGGATGTGGAATTTAATTTATCTCTCCTATGGTTATTACATCACCAAGTATTTAGATTTACTTGATACGGTAAGCCAACCACTGAAAGGTTAATGCAACTCAGAATGTGCTTGTGTGCTTCACAGTGGCTGTGGGTGTATGTGTGGTGGACTCTGTGGTGGACTTTGTGGTGTGGGGTGAAATATAAGCTAAAATGGGTGACGCAGTGTGTTTTCAGTATACGAAGTATCCTTATGATGATAGTCAAGGAAATTGATTAATGATATTTTAGTTGAGCTCTTGAATGTGAAACGAATTAGCTACTGAATTTAACTTTAACTATTTAAAAATTTCCATTGCATAGTATATATATATATTTCGAGCTTTTGCAACCGCTTAAGCGATTTACGGCCGAGTTTCTTCTCCAATTTGTGCTTTTGCATCTTGATGTTTTTTTCAACAAATAAAGGGACTTAAAGTTTACACCAAGCCATCTCCACCTCCGGAAGGCTGAGGAGCCTTTATTTCATGGCTGCATATTAGTCGATTTAAAATGTGAGTTTTGTTAAAGCAGTCGCTAAGGCGATTTTCGGCTTCTCTTCCAATACCTTAGCAAAGCGTATTGATTTTTTCAGAACATTTAGGGTCCCTTAGCACCTATCTTAGTGGCTGCCGAATGGCTGATGGATGTTCATGATGACATTAATTCGCCCAGAAGCGTTGATATTTTCTGCGGAATTCTTATTTTTAGCCCTTTAATAAAAATGAAAATAAAATTTGGGCCGAACTTCTATAAGCAGCAGAAGCAGAAGAAATTTACTCACCAAAAGTTATAACAATCAGATCAGATTGCAGAGCAATGTTGTTTTAGTCATGTTCGACTGTCCGCCTGCTTGTACGCAAAAGAGATATTTCAAGCAAACTTGATTGGCAGATGTATTTTTATGCTGCATTAGTCAGTTGCTAGAATTGACCAGATGAGACCATGCAGCATAATCCTGAAAAGAAATACTATCCATTTGATATGGCACACACAAAGACTTCGGCATGGCCGGAGGCAGCTCAATATACTTTTTTCAAATTAACTCAGTTTTGAATTTTGATCTCTATAAATTAACAAGCACTGTTTCGACATTTTGCATGTTCGAGTTATTTCAAAATTAAATTTATATTGGGACGAAGTAATCGCTTTTTTGCTGAGAGCTACAAAGCTAACGCGTCTGCCAAATTTTTCGTTAAAAATACAAAGCAGAGGGATTCAAACCTAATGAGTTGAATTGATGCGGCTGCTCCTGCCTTCAGCTTCTCAAATGATCGAACCATTTCGTGTGCCTTATAAAGGCAACGAGATATTCAATGTTCACTGAGGCCAAATCAGCTAGACAGTCGAAGAAGTGTTTCCCAAGAAACTTGTGTCAAAGCTAGATAGTGGCAGAGCTAGTGCTCGATGGTCTCCTTCTCCTATTCGTTCCTACAGCCGCTGCAGAAATCGTTAGAGTAAAAGTCCATCCTAATCCCGTGAAGCCCCATTAAATAGATATTTAATTAATAAGATATTTAGATTTTTTCGCGTCCAATTTCGGCCACAGCTCTCTGGTCATGTTACACGTGATCCCCGCGAGTCAGCTTCCTTGGTGAAGGTTAATCTAAGCATGTACTTATCTACGGACAGAAGTAAACCAGAGTGCCTTCTCTTGCGACTTTGTCTGCCAATTCAATTGCCTGGAATGTCCCTGTATCCAGGTACACAGACCACGGCAGTACTGTACTTAGTTGGAGTTTGTTGAGAGCGTTTCTACAGTGTATGGCCACTTTTGACGTGGTACCGTTACATTGATGAGATCTGATTGCAGCCTGCCATCGGAGTAGATTGTTACTGATTGTCCTGCTGCCGTAGATTTTTTCCGCGTGGAAAACGCTGCAATTATCTAGTATTCTCATGCTCATGCTTACTGAAAGCACGGGAGAATTAACTCCGTAGCCCACCCTCCCATCTAGCTTCGAGCCGTCTGTGAAAATGGCTATTGCTCCCTGGTCGGCGGCGATGGTATTCTCCCACTCGAATCTGTTTGAGGTTCTTGTGGAGAAAAGGTTATCGAAGCATACAGTCCAGCTTCTTTGGCACTTCAGTAAGATATAATATTTTTGTATGTCATATACTGCTCTTCTTCCAAAGCCGAATTGCATTCAATCTTATTGCGTTGCAACCCGATTGTAATATCTCGTTACTTTCTGGGCAGGATTAATTAATAGCAGAAAATAGAAAATGGTATCGAATTATGAAGAACTGCTCTGGGAGTGCGAAAAGTAATGAAACAAATCCATATGCAACGTATGCGTATTTTCTCTGATGCAAAATAATAGTCCGAGTCTATGCTCGACTCTCAGAGAGAATGTTTATTTTTGTTAGATCTAAGTTGTTAGGGCTGCCAAATTTCATTAGTGAGATTAATAAAAATGCTAAACTGTAAATATTTAGGTGACGTAGTCGAGATAAAAGCTTTCGTGGAAACAGCGACAAGGGTATTGTGAAACTCACTTGAGTTACCCTACGACATTGACATGTTATTATGTTTAATCAACTGATAATGGACGACCAGCTGAAAGGCGAAATTATTTCGTTTTTTTCTCTTTAGTCTTTCTCTTTAGTCAGGATGCAAACCTGCTTGTGTGCTTTCCACATGTTACCGATTACTGACCCTTTATCTCGTTGATCACACATTTTATTGGAGTATTACTGAGCTCAGAAATTCAGTTCAAGGCCTCTTTATACAAGATCTAGATCATACATAAAGTTACTATCTACCTTGTGTGTTTGATCTGGAAATATTTCTGTTAAATCTTCTTCAAGAACGCTGCAGTAGTGGTTAAACAACCTTTTGCGCATATTAATCACAAGTGTCACTCTGCAACTCTCTCGTATGTGTCGATCCTCTTTTCACGTGTCTTTGCGATAACTAGGCGCATGGTGAATATCTGGCCAATGGATGGCTTACCAGTTCTAAAGCCGCACTGATAAGGTCCAATCAGACTTTATATTATTATTGGGCAGAGCAAAACTTAAACTCCAATCGTCGGCATGCTTTCGTCTGACCATATTCAGCAAAGCAGGTGATGCATGCATTAGAACTAGATAGGCCGTCAGTCGCATTGAGGTTTTTAAGCGGGCGATTGCTATTCGAACTCATTCATTCGCAACAACTATTCCGTCGTCATCAATTGGAGCTTGGGGCTCACCATTTCCTGGTTTTTCGTTTTCACTGCCATTTAGCAGGCTGAAGAACTGCTTCTTCCATGAATTCAGTATACTTTGCGCTTCCGCCGAGCTCTTCACACTCGACAAGATTTATATGTATAGCACGTCGAAGCCTGTAAAAAGCTAGATATCTCGGATCTCCGCAAAACTCATACGCCTATGTAGAATGACGTTGAGCAAACCCTTCAGCTTTAATCGAATTAGGCAGGATCTATCCGTGTCGTTCGCAGCCAAACGAGATTTTGGACCATGTGATCCACTATCGTGCTGATTAACAGCGTCTGCATTGGTTTGGACTTGTCGCGCGCATGTACGGAAATGCTCCAAAGAGAAAATGATTTCACTCGGCAGCCAGTGGTTATCTGAATTACTGACGAAATTTCGCTGCGAAGAGAAGAGTTGGGCAATATTTTCTATTCTCGCCCCAAGCGGTTGTAGAGCCATCGAAGAAAAATATAAGCAACAATAACTTTCCCTTAGGAGTCTAGTAAGCTGTTAATTTGTGTACAACTTCGGAAATTATAGAATCTTTATTTTATATAAAACAACTTATTTTTGAAATTACATTCCGAATACGAATGCGTTTCTGCCGTTTTCAGCCGTTTGTAGGTTGACTTGAATATACTGAGTGCCCCTACATTTCTGGGAAAAACATCAGTATGCCTACTAAAATAAGAGGAAGAGCTGAGCCGGCACTAAAACAATTAGTTCATTTTAGTTTAACTTAAAGCACGTAAAAATTCAATAGGAACATCAAAGTGAGACAATTTATTTGTTTACAAGAGTATTCAGAAAAATCTCAAGGTGACTGCGAGTATGCTCTCTTGTAGTGTCGGTAAATTCTTCGACTATCAATTCGATTTCTATCTGCAAACAAAATTCAATTTTCCATCGACATTATCGCAGACAGCATCAAATTGCTTGTATGTACAAATACATATTATTGAAATAGAGCATTCTTGTTATGTTCAGCTACTACATGTGTGAGTGTGTGTGTGTGTGACAATGTGTGCTTAGCTGAAGGCCAAGCTATAAAAGTTTATCATTTAAGAAATCCATAGTAGCAACATGATGCTGAAGCTGGCAGGTAGTTGGCAGTAAGCTCTAGACCAAAATACAAACAAAGTCGAAGATGCAACTTCAATGTGTATATGTATGCGTGAATATGGAAGATAAATTTCTAAAAATAAATACACACAATGCATTTTTAGATACAGTTTCATTTTCACTTTTTCTTTCTGTTTTATTTATTCTTTATTTACAGGTTTTCTTTGTGCTGCGCAAGAAAAACAATCAAATCACTTTTCTGCATGTTTACCATCATGCCGGAATGGTTTTCGGTGTTTACGCATTCATGACTTTCTTGGCAGGTAATTTTCACACTCAAAGAAAACAGAAGAATAGCACAGTATTTATAAAATGTTATAAAGCAAGAGAGACGAAATCAAGTAAAGCTAAAAAATTTACATAAAAAAAATAAAACAAAATGAAAAAAAATTAAATAAAATAAAATAAAATAAATTAAAATAAAATAAAATAAAATAAAATAAAATAAAATAAAATAAAATAAAATAAAATAAAATAAAATAAAATAAAATAAATAAGCTTCAAGTAGTTGTACTTCCTTATATTCCTATTTCTCGCCCTAATTCCAGAACTCATTCTCAACTCTTTGCTATTCCGCTTTCTTCCCCTATCTATATAGGCAGTCACAGCACTATGTTGGGCGTCATCAATCTCTTTATACACACCGTTATGTACTCCTATTATTTTGTAACATCTGTGTGGCCAGTAAAGCGGGCTGTCTGGTGGAAGCGTCATATTACGCAACTGCAGCTGCTACAGTTCGGTTATTTGTTCATACACTTTCTAATGGCAATTGTACGCAATCACTGTCAGCATCCGGTGATAGTATCCTTTGTCGGAGTGACACAGAATCTATTTATGTTTGCCCTCTTCTTCGATTTCTACTACAAGGAGTACATAAGGAAACCAAAATTGTTGGCTAAAGAGCAGCGAAGGCAGAGCAAGCAGCAACAGCAGCAGCAGCAGCAACAGGAGCAACAGCAACAGCTGCTTTGCAATCAACAGACACCAGCAACGGAATGCTCCACAACGCAATGTGCACAGAGGGTCAATTTGCAAACACAATCAACCTCCGAAGAGTTTGATCAATTTGAGAAGAAGCTGCAACAGACATGTCATCAGCATACACAACCAACCGAACAATTGAATTCCAACTACAGTTCAGTCAGAAGGAGCCAAGTTCACACTATGCCTGTGTCCAGTTTGCTTAAAGCGAAGTGCAGTTAAATTTAAAGAATCTTGCTTCATTTAATTTCTTCTTTTTCATTTTAAATCAATTAATTTTGCTTTATTTTTAAAACAAGAAACACTCATTTAGTTCTTTAGTATAATGTATTTTGTATGCAAAAATAGTTATTTTCAGCGATTAAGTATTAAAAAAGTCGAATTGAAATTAAATGTGGAGTGAATTTTAGTACTGGTAGTTATCAGTGCAAACTACAATGTGGAAGATTAGGATTCAAGTCCTTTTCCATACTTAATATATTTAAAAAATTAATTTACTTTTTGTAATTGCGTTGGCCACGAGTGCATTCCTTACAAGAAATGAAAGTTCCACATAAACATCCGTAAACCGTCAGGCAGTTTATCAACATAAACCTAAAAGAAGAAATTGTTTCGTTTTGGTCTTATCAGCACAAAATTAGCCGATCCCTCAACTTACCCAAACCATGAGTGTGTACTTTGGATTTCGTTAATAAAACTCCTAGAATCATATTTATCAGTCGTAGAATGAGAGGGAGTCAAGTGGATGGCCCTGGAGATATCTCAACACACGTAATTTTGCAAAAGGTTAAATTTATCTAACGCGATCTTTTGCTACCTCATAAAACGTGTAGGACAAATGAATGCTTCAACTTTTTCCAGAACGAAATTTGCTTCCTCTCCTAAACGACCTTGTATTGACCAATAGAAAAGGAGTAATTTTCTATCAGGACGATACGAGGCCTCATAAAAATCTGATAACTTGCCCAAAAGCTTTTGTGGTTTGAATGGGATATTCAACTACGATCACCGCATACCCCAAACTTTACACCTTTGCAAATTTTTTTTGGATAGGAGAACTTTTATCTGTAATTTGGACCGATTCAGCAACGCTCGAATAATTTATATGCGTGGAATCAATATGTTTTCCGAAACATGAAAAAAAGGTATTGGATCAAATGTTTTACCCAATAAAAAAATTTTGTTTAAATTGCCCTTAAAAAATGTTCTTTACTTACACTTTAAGAAAAAAACACACCAAAAACACACCAATTGTGAAGAAAATTGGAATGTTTTTTGAGGCACAATACAATTAAATTCTAAATACAGCATCATTCAAAAGGCCTCCACGACTTCTTTTGTAGGAATGAAAACCATGAACACAATATTTGAGCATTTTTTCGACTAAATCAAGTCGTATGTCATGAACAGCAAGTTCAGTGTTGACTTTTAAAGCTTGAAGAGGGTCTGGTTTATACTTTAAGGCTAATTACTTCAAATAACTCCAAAAGGAGTAGCCTAATGGTGTTAAATCACAACGTATTGGAGGCCATTCAATGTCACAGTTTGTTGAAATAATCGAATCTTCAAACTTTTCTCGCAATAATTCGGTTTTTGTACGTGCTGTGTGACATATAGCCCCGTCTCGTTTGAACTAGTTGTTTTTAAGATCAACTTCTTCCGATTGTGGCCATAAATAGTTGGTTATCATGTACGTATATTGCCCTCCATTGACACTAACGGTGCTGCCAGCTTCTTTACGAAGGACGTACGGACCGATGATTGCACCAGACAAAAACCTATAACAAACTGTCAATTTGGGTGAATGTAACGAAAGCTCATGAATAACGTTCCGAAATGAATATCTCGCCGATGCCGTTTTCAAAGAAGCGGGGTTCAATCACACCTCTGAACCAAAGAGTGCCACAGACAGTAAGTTTTTTTTCTGGGTATAGTGGCTTCTCTTCAATTATTTTAGGATTTTCAAGATCCCAAAGGTAACAAGTTTACTTACTTCCATATCCCGCGAGAGACAAAAGTGCCTAGTCGCTGGCGAAAATTTTGTTCGGAAAATCGCCGTTCACTGCTTTGTTATTCAAGCAACCATTATGAACGGCGGCAGTTGTTTATATGGATGTAAATATGTCCATAATGTGCCGTACGAAAGTCGGAGCTGAAAACAAACTCAGATCTTTGACTACACTGTCATTTACAGTAGCTTTACAATATTGTACCCTCCAGCCTCTTCTAATTTCTTTAAAATGCTTGAGTAGATGGGCGATTATGTGCACCATGACCATTTCTCAAAGCAAAGTTTTAACCATCATTTTTATAAAAGGTTTTTGCAATTTAAAAAATTTTAAAAGAGAACATATTAGGTTTGACAGTTCCATTTGAGTTACATACTCGGATGTCAAAACACAGTCCTGTACTATTTAAACTGCCAAATAGATGACCCTACATATATGTATATTAACTAAGGTAAATTTTATGAAAATTTTCTGTTCTCGTTCTGTGCGGCTTATATATATATGAAGAATGATACGGTGTTCAGATGAATAAGAAACTGACAAGCTTTGTTCTTAAAGTAGAAATATAAATTATAGAAATATAATTTAAGCATTAGATTAAAGGATCCTACTCTCTAATATTACGTCAAATGAAATGTTAAACAAATTTAAAAGTCTTCGTGACTAACATTATGATTTCAATTGAAATAGTTAAAAAAAAATAAATATAATAATATAAATAAATATTAAATAAATAATAAATAATAATTCTGTAATTTCTCTGACTAATAAGAGCTGTGTTCGTTGAGAAATGTCAGTAAAAACCAGCAGTTAACGAAATTCCGAGTTCTACTTTCCGAAAGAAACAAATTTACTGAGTTTGAAGCAACAGAATGCAGTAAAAATTAACCATCAAGTTGTACAACAGCTCTTTATTTTGGCGTATTTCGGTATATTACACCTTTAAAAATAACATATTAAAATTTCAAATCGATATCTCAAATAGTTGAGTTATAGCTATTTAAAGAGCAGCTAGAGAGTCTCATTAGCTACGAGTAAAAACGATCATTTTATCTTTAAACGCATTTTTCTCGAGACTCAAAAATGATCCGATCACTATCGATTTTTTTTACATGTTCTAATATAGTTCTCCGTACAATGACCTATCGATTTTTGATCTGATCAAAAAACCGAATTTCGGCAGGCCAAAAACGACCAAAATTTTGGGTAAATTTCGACTATTTTTTTAAAATGCCGACATATTGTTAATTTTTAATTTTTTTTTATCGTAGGTAAGTACAGACACTAAAATAAATAGGGAATTTTTTTTTTGGATATCATCCACGGAAAAGACCGGAATCACTGCAGCAGTGAAGGCCTTTTTTTCGCGCCATTCGAGATCGGCTATTACTTAAAAATTATTTAATTTTTTTCTTCAAAAATTTCACTGTACATTCATCAAACTTGTGTAAATATATTCTTAAAATTTTGAAATAATTGATAAAGTATTTTTTTTTTAATAAAAATTCCCAATAAAATTGGCAATTATGTGACATCAAATATAGTCAAAATTTATTGTATTTCATAAGCAATGCAATTCTAAATCAATATGTTTTTCCAAAAGGTCGTCTAATAGTAGAAGGATTGAAGCAGAGCTTGCTTTGCAACAATTTGCCGCTTGGATTTTCAGCAAGGATGTCTGATAATAATTTGAAATTATTTTTCCGTGTAAGTATATAAATGCAAAATCAACCGTTGTACTAGAAGTAATAATATATTCTAATTCTATACCTTCCTAACTTCTAAATTCTCAGCGGAAGCTGGTTGTGCCTTTACTGTTGTTGGAATCATTGATATTATTCAGTTAGAGCAATGGCCTCTCATACTAAATAATTAAAATTATTTAAATTTAAAATCAATTTTGTTTTGTTGACAAAAATTCAATTATATGATTGATCAAATCAGTTGTTTTTCATACTCACTAGTCTTTACTGTATCCAAATCTCCCAGCACGAGTTTATAACTTTCTCTTCAAGTAAACGTCAAAATTGCACTCTTTTATTATCAATATTTACACAATCCAGTAAAGCTTGGTAAAAATTGTTACTGTCCATCTAGTCAACGAACAAAACTAATAATTAAAATTAACAAAAATCAATGGGAAACTTGTTATTTGCTGCATAATATTTATCCAGTAATTTAATTGAAGCAACTGTGTTATATACACATGCATGTAGAATAGAGCAAGCAAATGTGAAATTCAATAAACCAGGGCCGTGCGCACGGGGTAGGTGTGGGTGTTTGGGGTTTAGGGCTTCGAATCTAAATTGAAAGTATGATTCTCTTTTACATCAAAGGCGACTACATGAAGAAAGGTCAATTTTCGTTTTTTGTTATACAATACAATATTTACTGATTTAAATAAAATATGCGTCCGTTTTCAAAGTTTCTTCATGCCACCAGTTTGCAGTGTGTACTATCTAGTGATTTTTTTTCTATTATTAATGAATCTTGCAGTTATGTGCTTAGTGGCATTAAACCAGCAAAGTTCATGGTGATAAGCGCAGAAAGAAAAGTGCTCTGGTGTCGTTAAACTCAATCGTGAATGGTTGCCTGCAAGGGATAACCAACTAGTTACAAAAATTCTAGTTAAATACTAGTATGTTGGAGATGAAATCACATCATTTCGTGATTTGTAAAGAAGTTCGCCACACGGTGAAATATAAATTCAACGTGCCTAAATGTACTAGTTTTGAACTAGTGTGAAGCTGATGCATAGTAGGACAATTGTCAGCCCATAGGACATTGCCTTGTTTAAAATACCAGTTGCTTGTATGGAAAATGGATGAATATGACCTAGTTGGTGTAAAAATGTAAACCAGTGGGATTCTAGTTTACTTGAAGACATCGCAGTGCAAAATAGGTGACACTTAAATTCAACGTTAATAATGAATTTGATGTTAAGTTTCTGAATAACATAATTTCGAAGTAACTAACGACCATCTGAGGATGGATATTCATCGTTTCCTATGTAAGAGGACAGGACTCGACAATGCCGATAAATTATTTCTGCAATATTTGTTTATGAAAAATTGCATACTACAGAATAATATGGCGTTTGCGTTTATGCAAATATGCGACGTTGAACGCTGTAATATATCCTCATAACCGAAACTAAGCTAGTAGATTACAAACGAAAAATAGTATTTATCAAGAAATAGTCTTGATTTATACCAGCTGATCTATTTCTAAATCTGATATAAACAGACCTGTTAGACTTGTAGTGATAAATATTTATGTCAAATCTACCGCCACTTTGACTGATATCTGAGAGATTTACCAGGGCAAGAAAGGGATTCCTTTGATTTTGGTTGAAAATTATCCAGGGCGTCGATTCTAGACCTTGTCCTTTTCCCGATCT